ATTATACAAAGGGCTACATGATTCTGATTTCGAATGTTTTGTGTTGATATTACACGACTTTTGAAGGAAGAATAAATTGCGGTAGTTTTGCTTGTGTCTCGGCACAGGTAAACAACATATTGCTTTTTATTTCGTCTGGAAGAGGTTTGTAGTAGAAGGCAAAATGCGGAGTGAGATAGTGTAATCTGGTGTGCTTGTGTCTATACGGAAGCAAATTGGGAAACAACATCCAATTTGGACCTGATATCAGACAAGACTACCCGCTGAATTTAAGCATATAACTAAGCGGAGGAAAAGAAACTAACAAGGATTCCCTCAGTAACGGCGAGTGAAGCGGGAAGAGCTCAAGCTTAAAATCTCCACGCAAGTGGCGAATTGTAGTCTATTGAGGCTGTTGTCAGCATAGTGACCTGGGACAAGTCCCTTGGAAGAGGGCAGCATGGAGGGTGATACTCCCGTCTCTGCTCAGGTTGTCTGTGTGTACGATACGCTTTCTTTGAGTCGAGTTGTTTGGGAATACAGCTCAAAGTAGGTGGTAAATTCCATCTAAAGCTAAATATTGGTGCGAGACCGATAGCGAACAAGTACCGTGAGGGAAAGATGAAAAGAACTTTGAAAAGAGAGTTAAAGAGTACCTGAAACTGTTGAAAGGGAACCGTATCGTTTCTAGTGTTTATCCTATGCATATTTCATTGGCGGTTGCAAAATTGCTGGTGCCCTGTGCATGGGTGTGACGTCAGAGTCAGTTTAAATTGCGGGAGATGGGTAGGGAGGAGGTGCGTCACTTCGGTGAAAGTTACAGCTCTCTGCCTAGTAGCCGTGGTTAAGACTGAGGTGCCTACAACATGCTTTGGGGTCTGCTGTTGTCTCGTTTTAGTGATTGTCTGGATAGCTTGCTATGCTGGTGATACCTGAGGCGATTGATAATGGTAGTAACCTCCGCTGTTCGGGACTCTGGCGAAATGGAGCGATACGACCCGTCTTGAAACACGGACCAAGGAGTCTAACATGTGTGCAAGTATTAGGGTGTGGAAACCCAAATGCGCAATGAAAGTAAA